TTCCCTAATGAAGGTTCTACTGTGTTTGTTGCCAGGTAAGTTCCATGTTTGGTCTTCGATCCATCTGTATACCAGGTGTTTTTTCCAAAAATGTTTTCGGGATGACTACTGTTCTTCCACTCTTCACGGCTTATGATTTTGGCCGTGAAGTTTGTTTTGAAGGTGTACTTCGGTGTCATGTGGTCCGTGCACATATCCAATATTTGCTCCTCCACTTGTTCCGAAATTTCTGTTCGGTCTGATCTTTTGTAGTTCGGTGAGTTTTCCAGTCTGAATTGACCCATCCTGGCTTCCTCCATTATCACAAAGTGTAAAGGAGGTAGATTCAGGAGTGTCTCCAACGCAGCTGTTGGGGTAGTTCTCATTTCTCCCGTCATTCCCATACATGCAAGTCTTTGCACCTTGTCTAGTTTGTTGATGGCGGTCGCCTGCTTCATCTTTGGCCACCAGACCAGATATGCGTATGTTATCATGGGTTTAACCACCATCGTGTATAGCCAATATACCATGTCTGGTTTTAGCCTCCATGTTTTTCCATAGGTGCGTCTGGCAAGCATCAGTGCTACCTCCTCTTTCCTCTTTATCCTGTCCAAGTGTTGGTTCCAGGTCAGTTTGGAATCTAGGATTACTCCCAGATATTCAACCTCCCCCGACACTAGTATTTCTTCACCTCGAAGTTTTAGAGGTCCGAGACCCTCTATTTTAGTCCTCTTGGTGAATGCTACTATGGTCGATTTGGATGGGCTTATGTTAAGCCCTTCTTCTTTGGTCCATCTTGTTATAATGTTCAGGGCCTGCTGCATGCATCCATTCACTACATTATTGTATTATGAATAAGTGATCAGTGCTTTATACCCATTATGGTCCAAGAGACATAGTAGCTTGTCCATTACAAGGTTCCATAACAGAGGGGATAGAACCTACCCTGAGGACAGCCCCTTGCTACCCGTGCCACGACTGTTTTTCCCATCTTCCCCTAAGCATGCATTCTATACACCTACAGCTTGGCTTGTCGATCCCTCTTCTCCTCGACGCCTGAATGATTGATTCTAACAACGTATTATCAAATGCGCCCTCAATGTCCAAGAAAGCTGCTAAAAGTACTTCCTTGTTTTTGTAAGTATATTCTACTTCTTCTGTTACCCGACATAGAGCCGTTTCTGTTGACATACCTGATCTGTATGCATATTGGTCTCGATGTAGTGGTCTGATAGCCAGTGATACGTCCCTGATATGCCTGTGAAGTAGTTTTTCTAGCGTTTTCAACGCAAATGACATGAGACTAATTGGTCTCAAAGCCTTTGCCGAGTCCTGTCCGATTTTCCCAGGTTTCGGAATGAAGGTGGCCTTGATCAGTCTCCAAGTTTTTGGTATGTGTCCCAGTGCTAAGCTTGTCCTGAGAATTATACACAATTTTTTGAAAAAGTACTTCCGGTCCCTTTTGAAGCATTACTGGGTATATGCCGTCAAGTCCCGGCGACTTATAGAGTTGAAATGAGTTTACAGCCCATTTAATTTTCTCCATATCTATCACCTTCTTTGCCATTTGCCAGTCCTCCCTGGATGCCCTTTTCGGGGTCTCCAGTTCTGAATTCGCCCAGGACTCCGGTGTTAGATTTGTAATTTCTGACCCGGGAAAGTGTACCCGGAAAAGCTCTCTGATAGTCTCTTCTCCGGTTTTTGTATACTCCTCCGTATTTGTTTTCAGATTATTCATTGAGACCTGAGGTTCCTTTGAGATTATTTTGTAGAGCCTGGCACATTCTTGGGTTTGTTCGACCTCCTCACATTGCCTTCTCCACGTATCTCTCTTGAATTTTCTCAGGACTTTGTTATACTCAGTTAGGGACCTTCTGTATTGGTCCCATGAACCTGATTTCCTTGCACATTTGAAGGCTTTCCTAGTTTTTTGTCTCATCCTCGCCAGATCTTCATTCCACCAGGGCACATTCCTGTTTGATCTCTGATTTGCTATGGGACAATGTTCATTGTACGTAGAGATGATAGCTCCCTATAATCGATCTGCTGCCAGCTCTAGGTCTATGGAATCTCTGATGTCAAAATCCATGCGGTCTAAACAGGTTTCCAGGTCCACCGTATAGACTCCCCAGATTGTTTTCCGAGAATTTTGATATGTTAGGATCGAGGTCTGAATCCCTACAATTTAAAAGTTTATGTGTCGATGGTCTGAACAACTTTCCTCATCGGACACATTCCATTTCCGAACATAGTTACTTATGAATGTAGTTTTTATCGTTACGTCTATCACTTCACTACGTCTTGCATTTACGAAAGTAGGTTTATTGCCTATGTTCAAAATGTCCAAGTTATTTTCAAAATATCCAAGTTATTTGCCATGATAAACTGTCCCTCCTGGATCAGGTCTGCTTGACCCTGACTCAGGGTGACCTCAGGGTGTCGCATGTCGGTGACCGCCACCCTCAGGCCCCTAGCAGCCTCGCTATAGGTCCCAGTTTCTTTGGAAGCCCTGGGTTTTTTCAGTACCTTCTGTGGGTAAGTTTTTACATCCTCTCTAGGTCTCTTTTTGGCCCTTTTCACAGAAGTTACTTTGGTTTTTTCCGTTTTTATGCGGTCTTTTGTATTACATGGTTTTTCAATCCATGTTCCCGCAGCTAATTTCCTTGTTTTCATCAGTTTGCGCCTTTGCCTTCCTGATGGGCTTTCCTCCAGTTATGCTTTCGGCGGGTCTGGTGTTTCCCGCCGTTTGACTATGACTTTCCTGGTCAGTTTGCACCTCCAGGATAGCCTGATTTTGTGAGAAGTCGCTCGAAGAGTCCTCCTTTGGTGTTCTGATAGTTCTTGTTGTATCCATCCAAGTCCCACGAGTATGGGGGAAAGGGTTGTCCACATCCATGGTGCCCCCTGTATGGATGTAAGGCTGGATACTTTGGTAGGTCGCCTGGTATCCCAAAGGCTCCGTTAGTGATAACTGATGAGGCTCAGGTACCATTCATCCTTGCACAGGTCGCATAACACCTTGGATTAGGCATGGGTCCTTCTTGGTCTGACTGTTCTGTTACGGCCTCTTCGGCATGGGAGACCCCACCAGCAGCTGAGCTGCCGCCTACATAGCCCGTAACTTCATCACAGTACGCAAGCCCTCCCACCACGACAAGGTGAAGACCCCTCGGGAGGGCAAGTATCTGTTAGATGCAGCCCTTGCACGAGATTCAATAAAGGTTTACAAATATTGGTTCGATTCAGTGCTTGATTTTGTTGTACGATGGCATTAAAATCCCCTAGTAGAAACATTGGCAGATTGCAGTTCAAATGCATTGTGATTTTGTTTTGAAAAAACCTATTTCTCTCATTATAATTTTGAGATCCAGATGGTGCATACACATTTACATATCTAATGTTATTGATTGTTGCTGATATAATTCTCCCGTCTGTGGAACAGAGCACATCTTTAATATCAAACCCTTGTCTGCAGATGATTTCTGTTCCTCTCTGCATTTGCCCAACATTACTCAGAAAAGAATACCCAAAAACGTTATCTAAATGCTCTGTATTCAGTTCTTGTATAAAAATCAAGACTAAATCATTTTTCTTGATGAAATCATATATAGAAGACTTTGTTTTGTCTTATTTTTCAGACCATTACAGTTTATAGTAGATATAGTTTGCATGTGCGTCATTTGGATCTCGAAAGAAAAAAGATAAAATATCTATATATACCTAATTTATTAATCAACGTCTCGAAGATATTCACGATGGGAAAACAAATAATATACTTGCGTTATTAACTGGTATATATCACAAAACTCACTCAGATTTTCACTTCCTCAGAAAAATTGATCTTCACTATCCTTAGCCTGTTCATCCTTTTCGTTCTTTACCGATGTTACCATGTTCCACTTGTCGCAGTCGGTCCAAGTCGTTCCGGCTTTTGCTGGAAGGTTGATAGTCAGCTTTGGCACTTTCCTCCCCTCTTCGGAGCTGATATCTGTTCTTTGTCGCTTCTTTTTCCTCAAACCGACCATTATCTTCGTAACGTCCTCCCAACTACCAGGTGTAGGTGATTCAATCTCCGATTCTTCTTCCGGAAAATTTTCATTGAGCTCCTTTTCCTCCTTGCGTTTATCCTTTTCTCCTTCTATTGTTTGATTTACTGGTGTGGGCTCATCCATCTGAGTTTCAGGAAATTCCAACTGCATCTCTGTGTTTTCCGTCTGCCTTTCTTCATCATAAGTTACTACTGGAGCGTTCGGTCTTTTTAAGCGTTCGGTCTTCAGCTGCCTTTTTGGACAATCTTTTCTTTCATGTCCTGGTGCTTCATAAACCATAAACCTGATTGGAATACGTAACCAATGAGGTACACCCTTCGATCGACACATAAGACGGTACTGGTTTTTTCATCCACATTGCTCTTATTCCAGTTTCCACGTTGAAGAGCCCTTCGCCAACATATTTCTCATTTCGAATACTTTTGAAAATTCCATAATTTGACATCTTCTTCTTGATTTTCTGGTTGTCCATTTTCAATGGGAAATCGTAAATCTTCACTAATATATCGTCAGTATCCTCTGTTATGAAGACATCAACCTCCTCTCCTTCATCTCCTACGTATTCCGTCACTGAACTCCTGCAGAAAGGCCTGCATCTTCACGTTTGATACCAACTTGAGAAACACCTTATGCCTAACATGATCAAATTGTATTCCTACAATTTGATCCACAGTACACTTCAACACATTCTTTATCTACATATGAAAGTTTGTGTTCGACGGTTTTTTCCGAACGTTCCTAAAATTTAAAATTAGCGTATTCACTCTCTTAATCAACATACTGACTCACTGTAATTACTTCCACTTATCACTCGTCGCACGTCTGTACCCTGTACCCTACGGTGTCTAATGCAAGACTGAGTCCATAGTAAACAGAAGCCGAGAATACCTACCACAGAGAAGCGACATTAACGTCGGAGCCTTTGATGTTCGGTCCGAGAATACCTACCACAGAGAAGCGACATTAACGTCGGATACCTGTTGACAACTTGGATACTGTCACTCGATCGAAGATCATACGTCTTTCTCACGAACTGGGGTTATACCTTGCTGACGCTGCAATCTGTGATTTGTTGGATAATGTTAACTTCAGCCACTATCGATAGCAGAGTATCCAAAGGTTTTTCTGAAGGTTGTCTTGCCAAATTTCACAATGTGTACTGGATCATTCATGCAATATCCAATGCTATAGGTTTCTTGATAAGTATAATTTATTGGACGACCATATACGGACCGTCAGGTTTGATTCAACCTATTGTTATTGAAAATTAATTTTAAGGAATGCTTAATATTCCAGGTGGAAAATTTACTGCCACAAATTTCTTCGTTCATGGGAGTAACTCCATAACGATATTTCTGGACCTCTGCATCACTGCCCATCCGATTTATCTAATCCATTGTTGTTATCCTATGATTTTTGGATTGGTATACCTAACATTCTCAATTATATTTTACTTCTGCGACAAGGGAAGGTGAGTTTGATGTATAGTTGTAAAATTGAATATTATTCAACATCATAATATTAATGAATATTATTGAAGTTCTATTCCAACGCCAAACCGTGATTTCCAACACCTCGACACGAGTTTCAATCACCAAGTGATATCTTCAACAGGAAGATTGAACAGTTTGATGTTCCTCTTGTGTTACGGTATTGTATGGTGTTCTGTGAAAATCTTACAATGAAATGTTTCCAATACGTTATGGATTTTCATAAATTTCATCACATACAAGTTCTTAAACCTGCTTTCACCCACTACTGAAATATAGTGATCAGTATACACTCACTGAGTATGAAAAATCTCAACATTTTTTGTTATAAAATATCAGAGAAAGAAAATAGGTTCATTTCACATAAAGTGTTTTTGGTAGTAGAATATAAGAAAGCAACTCTGAGGCTCAAAATGTTGGATTTCTGGAACTTGTTGACTTCACATCCATTCCTGGAAAAAGTTTCTACATTAATCTCTAAATCAGGGGTGCTCAAACTTGAACTGTTGGCGATTAATATTGTTAGACTACGATCGATTGATTCTGAGAGGCTGCAAGTATGTGTGATGCAGGGTTTTCGTCTAGGTAGGGTGTATCGTAGCATATATATATGCATATATATAATGCACAATATGCATTTTTTAGTCAGGGTAAGTGTATGTCTGCTCTAAAATGTCAATGAAAAAACTCATGATTATTCAAAATTGCGAGTTTATTGGTTCTTATGAAACAAACGAGTTGAAGTGTCTAAACTTTACTAAAGAGTGACTTTGGATGTTGAAGCGTGGCACTATATGTCCCCAGCATACTTTTCATAAGATGGTGCGTAATTACTGAGCAAGCATGATGACATATGTTCGTCAATTAGTCGATTGTAATATTTTGGCTTAATTGTATTGTTATAAAATATCAGAGAAAGAAAATAGGTTCATTTCACATAAAGTGTTTTTGGTAGTAGAATATAAGAAAGCAACTCTGAGGCTCAAAATGTTGGATTTCTGGAACTTGTTGACTTCACATCCATTCCTGGAAAAAGTTTCTACATTAATCTCTAAATCAGGGGTGCTCAAACTTGAACTGTTGGCGATTAATATTGTTAGACTACGATCGATTGATTCTGAGAGGCTGCAAGTATGTGTGATGCAGGATTTTCGTCTAGGTAGGGTGTATCGTGGCATATATATATGCATATATATAATGCACAATATGCATTTTTTAGTCAGGGTAAGTGTATGTCTGCTCTAAAATGTCAATGAAAAAACTCATGATTATTCAAAATTGCGAGTTTATTGGTTCTTATGAAACAAACGAGTTGTAGTGTCTAAACTTTACTAAAGAGTGACTTTGGATGTTGAAGCGTGGCACTACATGTCCCCAACATACTTTTCATAAAATGGTGCGTAATTACTGAGCAAGCATGATGACATATGTTCGTCAATTAGTCGATTGTAATATTTTGGCTTAATTGTATTCATTTCAGAAAATGCAGACTCGCACAAGTGAGTTGACTCAAACATTGCCGTCAGTTGAAGGGCTATTTACCTTAGATTCGGATATTTATCTTCAGATATAAAACACCAGAATTTTGTATCAGATGCTGTGGTTTTGAGATGTATATCTGATATAGTCTGCACTAACTCATTTTCAACAGACCATGAGTCGAATTGGTCCAAAATATTTGATAATTCTGCCTCATGAATATATATCATAAGTCAACAGAGGAATCCTTGCTTTCAAAGACTGAAAATGTTTCAGATACTTTCTTTTCAGTTGATCTTTCATAAGGAACAATTTACTTTCGAATGCGTTCATTGCGCTAATAATTATCTCAATAATAGTTTTTCTTTTACCTTGAAGCTCCAAGTCAATGGTGTTCTTGAAACCTTTCTGGGAATTTTCCGGGACCAACCACCTGACGTTCGTGTGAATAAGTAAATCAGTGTGTTCAGCTGACTCACTATCTTCCAACTGCAATTTAAAGAGCCGTCGTTGCAAGTTACGTGCACAGATGGAATTCACAATTGTTATTGCAATGCCCATAATCTCCCCCATATTTAGAAATTTTCAACACAAAACTTGTTGATTTATAATGCAAAGGAAGGTGAAAAATGAAGGGAAATCGTCATTAGCTCGACACAATGTCACAAAACCGTTTTTGTTTTCAGTCATGGCTGGTGCTCCATCGGCTGTAATGCACACTAATTTATATACTGGTAGCTTGTAGTTTGTTGCAAAATTGGAGAAAACGTCATAATATATATCTTCACCACGAGTATTTCCCTTCAGAGGAGTCATAGTCAAAAACTCTTCCTTGGCCGACATGTCTATGAATACCATTCGAATAAAAATACACAGCTGGGCAGTGTCTGTCATATCGATGGATTCGTCGAACTGTAAAGAAAAATATGTACATTCCATGATACCATGTTTAAGTTTATCTGCTATGTCTTAACTTGTGACTTCAACACGCCTTGTGACAGTCGGACGAAATAATTGAAGTTCTCTAGTAGCAGACATAATATCTGTTTCATTTTTGAAATATCCAAATAAAGTGTCACCCGCTTCAATAAATGCTTCCTTCTCAACCGATTCAACTTCAAATGGGTTCTTGTGTGTCGCCAATATATGAGATATTTTAAATGACGCGATTGTATCAGCTTTTGATTGTTTGGCTGGTCTTGTGAACATGCTTTGTTCTTTCTTCATACAAGTTATCAAGTCACGTACTTTTCGTTTTCTCAATCCACTCTGTGATGGAAAATATTTTTCATAGTTTTCGTGAACCGTTTTATGATGTCTCTCTAAGTTCCCACGCTAAGGTATTGCAACCGACACATGGCAAATGTGACAAATGCACTTATCCTTTTCCATACAAAAGAAAAATTCTTCCTCCCAATCGTTATTAAAGTGATACGTTTTCTTCGCGGCACTCATTTTGTACTTTTTATTAATAAACCTTATATCGCCTTCACGTTATTACTCAGACTGACTCCTGCAGACGCGAACGGAGTCTCGAATGTTCCCGCCAAACACGCCGCCCGAAGTTTCTAGAAAAGTCGACGGGAATCGCCGCGGATTTTCTTTGACAAGTACCGCGCGTTCCTTTGATAAAGCCACCTTTTGCCGCTAGCAGGGGGTTATTACGATGAAAGAATGTAATGAGGGTGTTATTCTGGCGTAATTGTGGATCGAATAGATTTTAGTAGTTTATTCATTTTCTTTTATTCTAGTGACATATATACTAAAACAAAATCTGTGAATAGTTTCATATCGGATTTTTTTTCTCTAGATCGACTAAAAAGCACTCGCGATCGACCGTTTGAACACCCCTGCTCTGAATAATCCTTAGAAATGTACAGGTTAATTCTTCTGTTTTTTTAAAGATGACTCTGACATTATTGTTGCATTCAAAACTTCAATTCATTCTGAATTAAAATTAGGAAAAATTCAGTTTGTTTACGTCTTCATGACACTATTTTTCTCAATGCATCACCGACTTTTCACAGTATATGATTCATTTTGCAAGCCATGACTCAACCCTGATTCGCTCATCCAAAGAGGGAGATTCGATGAATTAAATCATTACAAATGACGTGTTGAATAATTTTCCATTTTTTTTTCAACACTGGAAACATTGATAGTACGTGGAATAACGGAATGGTGGAAATATTTTTTCATTTTGCCAAAATCCGAATCTGTAGGGCTGAATTTTGCCACAAATGTTAAATTTGACGTCCTGGGCGTATACAAGGGGATATTTTTATCATTGAATATCGATTTCTTCA